AAAAGCCGTGCCCCCATGGGAAGCCGGCGCTGAAGCAGCCTCGTCCTGAAGGGCTGCACCCCATGGAAGGGACCCACACTGGAGCAGTCTGTGAAGAACTGCAGCCCCTGGGAAGGACTCATGTCGGAGAAGTTCATGGAGGACTGTCTCCTGTGGGAGGGACCCCACGCTGGAGCAGAAGAGTGTGAGGAGTCCTCCTCTGAGGAGGAAGGAGCGGCAGAGACAACCTGCCAACCTGCAATGAACAGACTGCAACGCCATTCCCTGTCCCCCTGCACTGCTGAGCAGAAGAAGGCAGAGAAATCAGGAGCAAAGTTGAGCCTGGGAAGAAGGGAGGGGTGGGGGAAAGGTGCTATCAGGAGTAGTCAACATGTGATGGCGTGACTGGCTGGGCAGATGAGCATGCAACGCCATTCCCTGTCCCCCTGCACTGCTTGTGGGGGGAGGGGAGACAAAATTTTGAGTAAAGTTGAGCCTGGGAAGAAGGGAGAAGTGAGGGGAAGGTGTTTTCAAGATTTGGGTTTAATTTCTCATTATCCTACTCTGACTTGATTTGTAACAAATTAATTTTTTTTTTCCCAAGTTGCATCTGTTTTGCCCGTGACCATAATTAGCACATCCTCATAGGCAAGCTTAGGAAGTGTGGGACAGACGAGTGGACAGTGGGGTGGATTGAGAACCAGCTAAAGGACAGAGCTCAGAAGGTTGTGATCACGGGTGCTGAGTCCAGCTGGAGGCCCGTGGTTGGTGGTGTTCCCCAGGGAGATTTGTAACAAATTAATTTTTTTTTTCCCAAGTTGCATCTGTTTTGCCCGTGACCATAATTAGTGAGTGATCCCTCCCTGTCCTTGTCTCGACCCATGAGCCTTTGGTTGTATTTTCTCCTCCTCATCCCACTGGTGGGGAGGAGTGAGTGAGCAGCTTAGTTGCCAGCTGGGCTTAAACCATGACAGTCCTCTCCCATTCTTCTTCCCATATTTGTTTTACAGTCTTCTGCCTAATCACTTATGTGCTCCTCCTCAAAAATGGGGACTCCTTTGTCACAACAGTGCTTCTAGGCAAGTCTTAAATGAATACATACATTTAAGAGCAGTGTTAATGACAACTTTATGAGATTTCTTCATGGGAGTTTTTGTGTATTTTGCTACTTTCTGAGGAACACAATGATATTCTCTTGTTCTAAATGTCATCATCTGACCTTGTTAAGAAGATCTTTCAATTCCTCCTGTGTTTTCACAATTTTTTTCCAGTGTTCAATCTGCTCATCCTTCACATGCTTCTCCTGCAATCTGGAAAAGATAAGAACTTCAGCCAGTTCAGCATAAAATCATTGTGTTATTATGAAAACTCATTATCACAATCTAATTAGCATAATACAATAAAAGTACGTCATTGGATATTTTAGTAAATATTTGTACAGCAATTAGAAAATTAACACAAGTTTCTGTAAATAAGGGATATCTGACTAGCTAAAATGCAAGTGTGAAGTTACCTACTATTACTACCTAATATTACAAATGCCATTAGCTTTCAAGCAGCGTAAGCAGGCTGTAGGTACACCAATTCATACTGAGTAAATTATCCACGATCAATTACTGTGGCAGGGATTTTCAGGAAGTTCTCAAGAAAAGATGTTTGCTCCTTTAACCATCTTTGGCACATACATAAACAAGAAATGCGTACACAAACGAGAACTCGGCAGAGACCAAACAGTTGTATTCAGTGGGTAATGCTTACCTTAGGAGCACCACAATTTTTCCAGTATCTTTTGTAAAATCCTCCACAAAATAGGAAAGTCTACCACAAAGAAAAAAGTCACTTACTGTATGACAACCTCCAGAGCCTGACCTAGGGAGACAGGCTTATTATTGAGAACATTGAAATCCAGCTGATGACTGAGATAAGACGTGGCTTCCAGCAGACGATTGAATTCTTGCTCCACCATTTCATCTTTCTCTTTTGGAACCTAGGAGTCAAAAGAACAAACTTTCTTCTTAATAAGCTATTCATAAAGAAAAAATATAGGTCACCAAAGCTCAAAGCCTCAGAGACAAGACATTCGAGTAGTACAGAGAAAATTTTAAAAGAAATCAGGGCAATGACACAGATTTCTCTAGTGCAGTCTAAATTCACAACACCTCATAACTAATTCAAAATGCTACCATTCCCCAAATCAGAAGAATAAGAAAGGCAGGGTGCAGATAAATTCTTAGAGCAGTGCTCAAAAAAAGGTATCACAGACTGACTGCTAGGACTGTCTACAGTGCTTTCCTCGAGTTTATTTTAACACCTATTCACTCACGTGCAGTAAGAAAAGCTGCAGGTACCAGGCTACAATGGGTTTGTGCCAAGGATCGCTTTTTTCAGGGCTCTAGCAAGACAACCCAGTATCCTCATCTGTCTTCTTTCAGAACGTACTCTTAGTACCAAGTTTTAACATTCAGGAGGCAGGAACACTTCTGGCCATTACATGCGTGAGATTCAGCACTAACCTAGGATCTACCATTTCTATTTCTAACAGCACTCCCTGACACCACAGCAGTAAGAAATAAAGCTAATTAAGTTTGTGAATCCCAGCTCTAGAACATTATTGCTGAACTGTTGCTTGCATTCAACCAGCTGGCATTGGTTAGCCAATTCTTTAAAAAGCAACAGATAAGCAGAACAGCCAGAACGAGCTTATTTCAGGGAAAAGAAGTAGCAGCAACAGCAACCAAAGCCCAGAGTGCCAGCACAGCAGACAACTGTTTGAAAGAGGAGTGAGACAGACAACTGCCTAAGGAAAACCAGTAGTGAATCTGGGAAGAACAAACAGGAACTCAGCTTCCACAAAACCTCCAAAATTCGAAGTGAAAAGCTCATATGGGAAGAGCAGGTTTTAGAAGAATTGGTGCAGATACACTAGAATATTACTACACTGCCTAAAAACGGACACACACTTTCATTATTCCCTCCTCCTGGAAGCTATCTCCTGCTAGACCAATAGCCTGGTAACAAATACACTTGAGATACTATTTCTTTTTAAAAGGTTCATGAAAACAGTATCAGACTTACAGCTTGTCCATTTGCTTCATAAAGTGGGCATTTTTGTTTTATCTTCGCCAATTCCATATTCACTTGTTTGCTGACCACAGCCATGGGATTTCCTCCTGGAAAACATTTTGTAGAGTTAACAGAGCACTCCAGCAAAGCCTGTCTGCAATTAAATAAAAATTCCACAGAGACTAAACACACCAACTCCAGAGCAAAATGCATTCCAGCAAAGTAGTGTAACTGCCAAAGGTCTACTCTTCACAATTCTTGCAACAAGGTCATGGAAAAAAGAAATGCTCACCAACACTTAAAGGACAGTATGTTAAAAGGGCTGATTATAAAAGCAGAGTCCTAGGGTGGCAGCAACCTTAGTATGATTGAGAGTTTAAACCTATAAACACAGCTTCAAAGTGTTTGTGAGCAGAATGCTTGAAAAGCCAAGGAAAGCTCCCACAGCTGCACAGTCCCTTCAGGAACTTTTAAAAGTGTGGTGACATGGAGAAGGAACTCAAAGAATTCAGTCCCTAAAAACACAGCGGAACTCCAACAAGTGACACTGGTGAATACAATCCATGAACAGGAACCACATACACCAACTGTACCTGGAAGATGTGTAACTAAACAGACTAGAAAACAATCTATGAGATTCCATGTAGAAAACTGGAGAAAGGCAAAAACCATCAACTTTAAGCATCCAGAATCATTAAACATCAAAGCCTCTCCGTAAGTACAGCAGAGAAAGGGAAAAGAACAGACACAAATGGAAAATGTCATAGAGGAGAGGCGACATAGGCTTCCTCCACAAAATTAACTTTGAGAAAAGTTTTTCAAACCTAGCTTTTCAATGTTCTCTGATTCTGCAAATCAAATCAAACCCAGAGCCTTAGTTCAAAATGGAGGGGGAAGTTCGGCCACCCTAATACCTTCCTGTCTCTTTAGAGACGTGACCGAACAAGCAGAACAAAGTTCAAGTTCAGCAACCTACTAAAAATTTTAGTTCAGCCACAGTTCACTAACAAAACCAGAAAAGTTTCCATAACTTCAGCCTTTCACCTTCCTGAACCACAAGTTCAACCCCTTCAGCAGTCTTCCCTCCTCACCTCTCTTCCAGACTCAGAAGCAGGAAGGATGCCCTTCAAACCATCTCCTTCACTACAGGAATCTTTCTTTCTCCACAACATATGCTGCCTCAATCAAGGCAAAGGGTGGATTCTTTTGGAAAGGCAACACCCACAATGAATTAAATATAAAAATACTACAGTCTTCCACTAGGTAACCTTAAATCTGTTTTTACCAGGACTGTGCAACTTGTCTGGAAGTAGTTTCTGTATGCAATTTAATAAAGACTAACCATAAGACAGACACCAAGTTTTGGCAGTCAGTAAAACTCAGTTAGGTTTTATTATAATATTGTGTCATTTCACTGCATTACTGAAGGGTATTCCACACTAAACACCTGCCCATCTTCTTAGCAGAGTAACCAGTATCGATAACTGATGTCATCCCATAAACCAGCATTAAATAGGAAGAAATATGTTAGCTTGTTGGCCATGATCTTCACAACTATTTTTGAAACCACTTAGAGAAAGGACTTTTGGCGTTTAAGTCCTGACTTTAAGAAGAGCTTTCTCTTTAGAATGGCTCTGCTCTTCATTCCACCATGTAAATGAAAAAACATATTCTATCTCTTTGGGGTCTCTCCCATCTTGCAGCTTTGCTATTTATTTGCTCTTCTTTACTTTGCTCTTAGCTACTCAACTAATCCCCTCACTAAATTCCTACTTCTCCATGTTCAATTTCAGCTTATACTTTGGAATATCCAAGGGAACCACTATGAGTTACCAAGAAATACAGTCCATGGACCTCAGCTCAGAGGCCACTGGCAGCTTTAGAAAGATTTGCTCAGCAAGTGCAGTGAACCCAGTGCAGACACCACCTTAAAGGAACTTGGTAAAGGAACAGACACACAAAAGGACAGCATGCCAAGGAAAGAATTCCACTAAGCACAAGAAAACTGTACAAGAATGGATCTACAACAGTCTGATAATGACAAGCACCTGTACGACTTCAGTGACCAACAAGAGCTATGGCACCAACAAAAACTCCAGCTTTTAGCGCAGGCTGCCATCTGTTCTGAAGATTCACTGATGAAAAATGCCAACTGCCAAAGAAGCTGAACGAGAACATCTACTTTTTAATAGTTAAAAATACCCAACTATTTTGACCATGAAAGGAAATAGCATAAGGTTTCGGATTTGTAACAGCTTGTCCCACAGCTTTCCTTCATGCTCCTTTTTATTTGGAAAAACTCACCAAGTCCTGTGACCACCATTGCTCCCAGATCAGCAACATAGTTCCCTTTGCGAAAGGTAGCAACTCTTCCTCCTACTCGGTCCTATTAAAAGCACAACATAACAAACTTCCAGTGAAATCTGGCAATACATCTCACTTAGATCTCTGAAACTTCTACAGAATGTGGTGTAAGTATTCTCTTAGCCAAAGGTTCAATAAATAGAACGTACACTTTTCCAAGAACCTCTGCAAATGAACGCTTGATCTCAATCTACCCAAGTTAAGGAATAAAATGTCTAAGTTGTATCGAGGGGAG